ACAACATTGTCTTTGTTTGTAAGGCTCATTATGTTAAATGTATTTTAGAGGAACTTGGATTTAATTCTACAAGTGGTAAACGTATACTCATAGTTCCCTTTCTAAGGAAGAAATTCTTCAAAATCATATGTCAGTTTTGAATATTTCTAATATTCCAAACAACCAAAATGAATTCGAATTACCATATTTATATTGGATTCCGAAACTTCATAAAGATCCTTACAAAGAAAGATACATAGCGGCTTCCAGTAAATGTTCAACCAAGCCTCTATCTTTACTCCTCACTAAGATATTAACAGTGGTGAAGGAGAAACTTCAAGAGTACTGTGCAACAATATATTCGAGAAGTGGTGTAAATCAGATGTGGATACTTAAAAATTCCAAGGAACTTTTGGAAAATTTGAAATCACAAGATTTTACCAAAATCAACAGCTTAAAAACTTACGACTTTTCAACTTTGTACACAACCATTCCCCACGATAAATCAAAGTCCAGGATTTTTGATATCATTGACAGCTGCTTTTTCAATAAAAATGGAACTCGTAAATATACTAACCTTGTCATTGGTCATTTGCAAAATTATTTTGTTAAAAACATTCTGATTGTTCACACAAGTACTCTGAAGTTGACATTAAAAAGATGCTTGAGTTTCTGATTGACAATATCTATGTGGTTTTTGGAGACCAGGTCTTCCTACAATCTATTGGAATTTCCATGGGTACCAATTGCGCCCCGTTATTAGCAGACCTTTTTTTGTATTCATATGAAGCAGAATTTGTCCAAAATCTTGTACGTGAAAAGAAGAAAACACTTGTTGTGGCCTTCAACTCGACATTTAAAGATATATCGACGACGTATTGTCAATTAACAATGGCTATTTCCATTCTTATGTTGATACGATACATCCTTGTGAACTTGAGATAAAAGATACCACAGAGTCTGACACATCTGTTTCATATTTGGATATTTTACTTGAAAAAGACGTTAATGGTAATCTAACAACCAAGCTTTATGATAAACGTGATGACTTTAACTTTTCTATCGTCAACTTCCCTTACTTATGCAGCAATATACCTTCATCACCTGCATACGGGGTATATTTCTCTCAGTTGATTCGATACGCAAGAGCATGCTCTACGTATGTACAATTTCTAAAACGAGGTAAATTATTGACAAATAAGTTGATGAAACAAGAATATCAGCTGTCTCGTTTAAAGTCATCATTTCGTAAGTTCTATGGTCAATACAATGACCTTGTCAGCAAATACAATTTATCATTGAATCAAATGCTGACTGACGTTTTTCATACTAATTGTTAGGCCATTATTTACACACTGAATTGTCGACGGATTTTTCCGTTATTTCCCGATCATGACAAGGAGCACACGGCGGGTGTGACCGGTCGGCAGAGGATGCTCACTCCTCCATGGCACCTGATCCCACCTCTGATGTTTGGAGGTCCGTGTTTGCTCTGCTCCTATTTTGTATTGATTAATGGACTTTTGAGCTTGAATACTGTTCGTTATCTCCATATATTTCATGTATATTACAAATTTTTTTTATCCTTAACAAGGATCAAACTCGGTCATTCTCATAAGTGTCTAACACCAATGAATGAAAATTAGACATAACTGTAACTCATGTTTTAGCTGGGGCTTAAAAATTACAAATTAAAGCTTGAATATGTCACAGTAGACGAACATTTCACCAACTGGTCCAACATCTCACCAACCGGAACACAGAAAAAACATTAGAAATGTTAAACATTTAAAGTAAAAAAAATTATATAGTAATCAATTTTAAAGGTATATCGAAATGTTTTCCCGTTTGTCCGTCTGTCTGCTATTTTAAACAAGTGAAAGTCGTAAGAAATGTCAAATTTTCAGAGTTGATGCATCTACACCAACATTTTTTTTTTTTTAGATTAAAGCTGCATTCAGCTATGCCCTTCATGTATATTAGTCAGTACATGTACATGTATATAAAGGAAAAGCATTTCGATACATTAAGTAGGTCATGATGAACTATCTGGATGTTCTGTTTCAATTCTATATATATCTTTTTATTATGTAAATGATTAAACATTATCGTTTCCTTTGCTAAATCTTCTTGGATTCCTAGTTTATAACCAAAAACTGATAAATTATTATAGCAGGTATATTTTTGAAAGCTAATTTTGTTTTAGACATTATTAAAAGTACTGAAAAAGTAACAGAAACTATCCCATAGTTTATAAGAATAAACAGGCACAGAGTATTTTAAAGCTGCTACAGGGGATGCTCCTCCTTGGCATCTGATTCCACCTCAGATGTCTCCAAGAGTCTTGTTTTGGTCTATTGACAATTTGTATCATTTACAGAATTTATCAGATTCATCAGTGTTTGTTATGTTCAGCTTTTACATTGATTTAATTATCAACATTAAGACAAATTAATTCCTTCTGTGTGTGAAGTGGGTGATTTGACTACGTGCTGCATTAATTCTCTGATGATTGTGTTTTTTGTTATGGTGGGGGGGGGGGGTGTTATGTGTGTGTGTAGGAATACTTTGTTTTTCTTGATGTAGTTCATCGAATTATTTTAAAAATATATATTAAAATATGAAGTTTTCATCACCCTTGTTTTAGACTGCATTGCAGAAAAATTGGACATTTTCAACTGAATAATCATTAGAGGAATATTTAGTTTGGTTTAAAAAAAACAAGTTGGTTGTAAATCTTTTTTACTACAAAATAAGAATGTTTTTAAGAAAGATTTTTGTCTGTAGGTTGATAGTTCATACTACTATCCCTTCAACGGACCCATGATTTTTGCTCATATTCTCTAATTGCCATGTGCATTTCGTAATCAACACTAAATTATTTGTATTTTTTTTTCTAAGGTTTAGTTCAGTTTATGTGTCTCCAGTAGATTTGTCATGGTCTAATTAAAGTAAGATATGATGATGGGATTTCTAGACAGGCGTAGTATCGTAGAATTACGAGCGAGATCTTGCGTGGCATTTATTTTTATTTGGTAACATATCAACAGACATATGTGGGTTTGAAAAAGGAACGTACTACAAATTCCTGATGAGTCGGGTGTGAATAGATGAAGGTAACATTGCAAGAGGTACATTCCTCCAATGTGGTGTTTGTTATTCTGTTTTTAAAAAAGCATTCAATCAATAGGAAGGATCTCTTACAGTTTCTACTTTGAGTACGTCATAAAATGGACTTAAAATGTGAAGATTGATAATGTTTTATTTTGACATTGTTTATACGTTCTTACCTTTTCATGCTTTGCACTCTTGCACGGGGTAAGTATAACACCTTCTCAACATTTATTTAGTGATGTCATTAATTAATAATTAGAAGAATATACCTAAAAATTGTAAACCTTTTTAAGTGATCTGTTATCATATTTAACTATTTAATATCACACTTACTGAATTCATCTACTTAATGTATATCATTCCTGACATAAGTTATATCAAGGATTTTCTGAGAAGTATATTTTAAATAACTAATCTACTTATAGAATGACTCAAAAGCGCGAAGAAAACTGGGGGTCAGTGTGCGTCTTACGGAGCAATGATACAATTAACTTGACCTTTTTGCACTAAAATTGTAACATTAAGGTTAATCACTTTAACCTTTATCATATTTCATTAGACGTACTCATTGCATTATATATAATCTTATTTTATGTAAAATCCTTTGAATAATATTTATCATTGAAAAAAAATCCTTCAAATTAATGCGCGTAAATTATTGTGTGACCTTTTTGCACTAAAAATCAGATATTTGCTGTGTTAAAAATCTAAGTAGACAATAAAATACTTTCTTGTATCAAGCCAAGCTTTTTATGACTCAGGTTAAAATAAAATGTAATTTTATCTTGACTCTTTCATTTCTTGGCAGAGTCTATTGAGTAAATGTGACTGTAAACTTTGTTCTAAAAATATTAATTGAAACCTATATCTGTTTAATATTCTTGGCATATAATATCGAAAATAATTCTCTGAGTAAAAAGGTTTAGGGCTAAAGCTCAAAGACATTTAATTTAACCTGTATGTAGATTTGAATATTTTTTTTTTCTAAATATTCTCCCACCACAAGAAATAGCCCCCCCCCCCAAATAAATCTTGTTTCCTCAAGATTTTTTGAGCAGTTTTATGCCCTGTTCACACGGAGAGTTTAATTCGAATTAAACGTAAGTTACTGCGAATTAAATTTGAACCGCGTTCATACGAAGAATTTAATGCGAATTAGTTTAATTCGAATTAATTTACTGCGCATTAAATTACTTTGCATTAGCTCCGTGTGAACGCTAAGCGAAGCTAATTCGAATTAAATTTTGATGCATGCGTAAGGACAGCATTAAGTCACAGGCCACATGTCGATGGTCAGATATAGGTACTTTTGCTAGTTTTGAGTGGAAAACAAAGGAAAACTATGATGATCGCTAAAATGTGTACAGTCACTATGACATTATGTCAAATCAGTGGTCAAATGTATCTGCTCGACACAATGTGACGTGATTCGCAAAAATGACGTTATAATAGCCTTACTGAATAGCCTTATTGTAGAAATAAAAATTTAATTCGCATTAGTTTACTTCGCATTAGCTGTCGTGTGAACGCAATTTAATTCGCATTAGTTTACTTCACATTAATTTACTGCGAATTAAACTCTCCGTGTGAACAGGGTATTAAATTGAATAATGTATGATTTACATTGTGTAATTCAATTATGTTATAAAAAATAATTGAATAAATAGATTTGAAGCGTGAGGTTCTGCTCAAACATTTCGCAGAAGCTGACACGTGAAATGCCTTAAACAGAAACTATGGTGAGCTAATATTTGTTCTATTTTACAATCTAGAATTCAAGAAGGACTTGTCTCCTGCGATGTATGAAAATGTACTCAAAAATAGACCATGAACATTTCTAGATTGTCCAAGCATGACAAGACAATCAAAGACAGATAAGAATCAAACGAACATTAGAATACAGTATCATGGGAGCATGCCTCACAAAACCACGGTGTTCTCAATGTTTGGAAGACTCGGATTTCTATTGCCACACCTGTGATAAAAATTTCTGTGTCTCGTGTAAGGAGAAACATGTGATAGACATAGACACTAAACACCACGATGTAGCGATTGGCTGTTTAAAGTATGGCGATCGTATGATACCAGAGTCATGTGAGAGGCACCCAGATAGGATATATAAATACTGGTGCCTGTCTTGTCAGTGTCCAATCTGTGTCATATGTAATGGTCACCGGAGTCATGAAAAAATTGATTTGGTAAAAACCTTCAAGACTTGCATACAACAACAAAGAGACAGAATTATTCGCATTAGAAGAGAGATTCTACCATACAATCGTGCTCTCCTGGCACAAATTAAATCTGATTTTAAAAGTTGTATTACAAAAATATGCAACCTCCAGTTGGATATGAATTCCAGGGTCCAGAACCTGAAAGATCAAATAGAAACATATACAGTTCTTAAGAATATAAGTAGCTCAAATCCCTATTTTGTCTTGAAGTTACAGCAAAGAAGAAATGTGACATACATACATAAATATATACAAAGATATGAAGAGTCAGAAAACAGACCAGTACAATTCCTCTTTTTCTTAAAACTAGTCCCCGTCCCCAAGATAAAGGACATTCCCGCTACTTTAGCGATATCTCTTACTGCGGAAACGAACATGGAGGATATTGCAGTGCTGTTTGGAAAAATTAAGATCAAAGAAACAGGGAAAAGAAAGGTAGGAAATGAAGATCTGTTTAAAGCGATGTCTGCTGCCGTGTTACAGAAATCGATTAACGTGACCGATGTGAGAGGTGGTATTAGTCATATTTCCTGTGTCATGCCAGACCGAGCCTGGGTCAATGATAATAACAATCTTATCTTGACCAATAGAACAGGCGAAGCTCTTTCTCTACTGACAGATATATCAAGTCCGTATGGCATACACACAGTGACAAGACACGGTGATTTAATGTATATAGATAGAAATTCTAACCTTATCCAACTGTCTACAAAGAACAAAGCAATGACTTCATTGATAGAAAAAAAAGAGCCATGGACTCCACGTTGTGTTTTCTGCTCCCCTTCAAATGGAGATTTTCTTGTAGGAGCGATTTGGTACGACAAAAGCGAACAGAGATATACAGAGGCTAATATAACCCGATACAACAGCAAAGGACAACAACTCCAAATCATCCAGCACAACAACAAGGGTGAGAACCTGTATAGCGATCCTATATACATCACGGAAAACAGGAATGGAGATGTTATTGTATCTGACATGTTCCGTCGTACAGTAGTTGTGACAGACTGTGAAGGAGGATATCGCTTCTCCTACAGAGGGTCACCATCAAATTCAGGATTCTTTGTACCGAATGGAATCTGTACAGATGCGCTGTCAAACATTCTAGTGTGTGATGGATACTCGAAAACCGTACAAATGATTGACAAAGATGGTTGCTTTCTGTCACTGCTACTGACAGAACAAAATGGGATAAACAGACCCGGAGGGCTATGCTATGATGATAAAACTCACCTTCTTTGGGTCGGGTCGTGGTGGGACAACACAGTGTGTGTATATAGATACATACAGTCAAAGGATTTCCTAATTAGCAGTTTTGATTAATCAATTAAATACTTTCTATATAAATAACTACTAGTATTCACAAAAGTAACTGTTAATGAAGATTATTAATAATATATAGTTTTTTTTTTTTTTACATTTGTCACTCCTTTACACCTCATATGATATCGTTTCCATATCCACGGTTTCGACGTTACAATGGTTTTTGCGTGAATTTGATCAAGTCAAATATTGTGGATTTACATTTATAAGTGTAAAACATGAAATAGCTATGTGTAAACATGAGATAAAAAAAGCTGTCCCATAGTTTTTAGTTAGACACGATTTTACGATTTTATCCAACTCATGTGTGTTTTAATCCCCTCACCAAGGCTGAAAGATAAAAAAAACACAACTCGTTGGATAAAAAAATCATGTCCAACCGCAAACCAATGAAGATAATATATAGATCACCTGCATATCGTGTTTACGTCTCCCAATTAAAAACGTTTTGATGTTATTGATTTTGGTAAAATTTTGTAATTTCATTTTATTTTTGACCCCAAAACCCACTCGACCGTCATGGTAGCTTAGTCGTGATCGGAAGGTGTTGGATAAAGCCCCGGTCGCGACAGACTTTACACAGGGAAAAGTGGCTCGCATGAACTTCATATAAAATTCGCAAGAATATCATGCAAATTCTTCGGATGAGAAGGAGATGAAAAGGACCACGTATGATATTCGCACGAAAATATCATGCAATTTTCACATGAAATTCACATGAATATCATGCGAAAAGAAAATCGCACGAAATCCATGTGAAAAAAAGAACCCAGGTTTCATATGAATATCATGCGAAGACAAGCATATTTTTTGTACCCCAGATATTAATATCAAGCTATTATCTATGAGTGCACCAAACCTAATCCATTAATTCTATCCTTCTTCCTTGGAAACAGAATTTTTTCTTCTTGCAAATGAAGTTTTCTTGAAAAATTCTCTTTTTCTTACTTAGTCAGTTAATCCAGACACAAGTAATGCACAATTACACAAAAAGTAACTTTGAATTTGAAAGAATCAAAACTTGTTTTCTGGACTCCTTCACTAAATAAAGACATCTGTGACATCAATTTCTACATTGAAAACTAATACAATTGATCTTTTTCTATCTTCTTTATTGAGGTTCTTATCACATAAGATTTCTTTATCTTGAGGATTCTGTTGAGATGGTGTTGCCGTTATAGCTGGAAATACAAAAGTAAACAATCTCAGGTTATTGAAATTCATAATGGACAATATTTTTTTTTAATTAACTATAACTACCTAGGCCCTTAAGTAGGATTGATACCTCTTGGTCATAATCACCTGTATGCCAAGTATGTTCTCCAGATACTACTCCAATAAAAAGTTGCATTTTCTGAGATACTTCTATCAACTCTATGACCTTGACCTTGTCTTATGACCTCTGTTCTGGAAATGGCATATCTTATGATCATTATCAACCATTAGGGCAGTATGATCTTTGGGAGTTACTTTTTTCAATATACAATTATATTATGGCCAATAATTTAAACTTCAATTCCTGTTACCTCTACATTGCTTAAATGACCAACAGGCAGGGTTGTTTCACTGCCTCTAGTCATAATTAAGCAACCTTAAAAACATATCTAGTTCAAATTACCTTATGTTAGTCTTGGGATATACCTTTGAGTCACAGGCGAGTTTTGTCTCAGGTATGTCTACTGTGTTTCCATTATAGAGTTGTGAATGAAAATAATTTAATACATTTGTACCCTTTTGACCTTGAACATATCTAAAATGCCCTTGGTACTGGGTCAAGACTCATCTCTGGACACAAGCTACCTTTCTATCAGTTATGAGCCTAAGATTGTTTTCTTGGTTACAAAGTCATGTTCAAATAAGAATTTAATTCTCTTATTCCTCTTTTTAAAAGTTTGACAAATCAGTCTGTAAATTCCTGTTACCAGTTAGTTCATATATAATTACAAAGTGTAGGGAAAAAACAAGATGTGTTTGTGAAACACTGATGCCCCCGTATGGCAGCTTATGGCGAAGGTTAAACTTTATCATATGCAAGTCAAACTGCAAAGTCGAGAGATCAAAAATGCCCAAGCACCAACCATTCAAAAGTTATGGTCAAGGTTAATGTTTTCTAAAAGTGGGCCAAACTCCAAAGTCAAGGTCGAAGGGTCAAAATTAATGGTATTCAGGGGGAAAACCTTGTCATAAGAAATATACATGCAGAATATAAAAGCCCTAGCACCAACAGTTCAGAAGTTATGGTCAAGGTTAAAGTTTTTCAAAAGTAGGTCAAACTCAAAGGGCAAGGTCAAAATTGTTGATATCCAAAGGAAGGTCTTGTCACAAGGAATACACCTGTGAAATTTGAAAGCCCTAGTACTAACTATTCAAAAGTTATGGCCAAGGTTAAAGTTTTTTAAAAGTGGGTCAAAAGTTATGGCCAAGGTTAAAGTTTTTTAAAAGTGGGTCAAACTCTAAGGTCAAGGTCAAAAAGTCAAAAATATTTACACCCAAGGAAAGGTCTTGTCAGGATAAATACACATGTGAAATCTGAAAGTCCTAGCACCAACTGTTCAAAAGTTATGGCCAAGGTTAAAGTTGGGTAATTTTTTACAAAAATGGGTCAAACTCCAAGGTCAAGGTCAAATATGTTGGTACCAAAAGGAAGGTCTAGTCAATTAATACACATGTGAAATATGGAGGGACGGGGCAAAAACTTATATACCCACGACTCTTCGATTACCAGGGCATTATTATAAAGTGGTTTAAAAGATAATTTCCAGACAAAACATGTCTACAGACAGACAAACAGACATGGTGATTCCAGGACACCCTTACAACTTCTTTGTAGGAGCTAGTATATAACTTCATTGTAGGGGCAAAAAAGTTTTAGCTTTTACCAATAATATATGGCCCAGTGATCTTGACTTTTGAGATAATTCAATGTTTTACTACTCCCACATCACTGTTTTCATTATCCCTAAATGCTCTCCCATTGGAAAATGGTTAGTCTGTACATTTCTGTTAAAACTTGAATTTCCTTAATCAGAGACTTAAACAAAACATGAGTTGTGCTAACTGGCCAAGTTTGCAACAGTTAAAATTGGCATTTAGGTGTGATTCTAGAGAATGTAATACGTACGTCTGGAAAGTGCAAAAGTTTACAACAACAGACAGACAAGTTTTGACAGTAAAAAGCTTACTAAAGCTTCTGGCTTAAATGGAATAATTAAATTAAATATGTTCAGTTAATGTCAAATTTAAATTGTCGAGAAAAAAAAAATCATACATGTATTTACTTACATGTACATATATGTACCATTGACAAATCTGTTTGTATGTATCTTCTGAGGATATAGGTACTCTGGTATTTGAAGCTGTTATGACATGCTAACTGCATGTGCCTACAGTGAAAATTTAAAAAAATGTCAGATACTGTCAATTCAATAGCATTTGGTTAATTATCTCCTTAGTACTACTGCATTTTTATGCATTTATTCTATAAATTAGCAGAATATATTTAAGAATTAGATAAGCAGAAATAACCTGAATGCTTATGGTTCTGCTAGTCCGATTCAAATAATTGACAGGAAAAAAAATCCTGCTTTTCTGCAGCCTTATCCTGCTTTTCTGCAATTATATTTTTGCTTTTCTATGTTGATCTTCTATTATGGCCCCACCCTACCCCAAAGGGGACATGGTTAGAACAAATTTGAATATACCTAACCTTACCTGAGGATGCTTCTGAATTTATATGGCTAATCATGGATTTGCAATTCTTTGGAAGAAGATTTTTAATGATTTCTCCTATGTATTCTCATTTTAAACTTTGATCACCAATTATGGCCCCTCTCTACCCCTAAGGGGACATGATTTGAACAACCTTGAATGTAAACTATCAAGGATGCTTCCATATAAATATGTCTAATCACTGCTTAACTGTTCTTGAGAAGAAGATTTTTCACATGTATGCCTAACATAAAAATTTGATCACCCATTTAGGCCCTCCCAACCCCCAGGGGTAATGAATTGAACAAACTTTAATCTATACTACCTGACAATGCTTTCATATAAGTATGACCAATCATGGCTTTGCTGTTCTTGAGAAGGAGATTTTTAAAGATTTTTTCTATATATATATATATTTCTATGTAAAAATTTGTTCACTCATTGTGATCCCACCCTAGCCCCGGGGGTCATGGTTTGAACAAACTTGAATCTACACTACTTAAGGATGCTTCTTCATAAAAATCACCAATCATGGCTTAACTGTTCCTGAAAAAAAGAAATTTTAAAGATTTTTTTTGTTTTCCTATGTAAATCTTTGATCACCCACTGTGGCCCCACCCTATCCCAAGGGGTCATGATTTGAACAAACTTAAATCTACATTATGTAAGAAAGCTTTCACATAAGTTTCATCTTTCTGACCCAGTGGTTCTTGAGAAGAAGATTTTTAAATATCCACACCCAATTTTTACTATTTACTATATCTTACTTATCTCCCCTTGGAAAGAGGGTATGGTCCTTCATTTGAACAAATTTGAAACCCCTTTACCATAAAGAATACTCTGTATTAAGTTTGGTTGAAATTGGCACAGTGGTGGAGAAGAAGATGAAAATGTGAAATGTTTATGACAACAATGACAGATGACGGACAAATTTTGATCAGAGAAGCTCCCTTGAGCCTTTGGCTCAGGTGAGCTTAAAACCAATCATGGAAAAGCAGCATGGAGTAGTCGCAGAAAAGCAGACAGGTTGCAAAAATAAGATGGGGGGAAAAGTATGTCAGCCACTTGATCACAAATAACAACATTATTTATATATATTGATGTATACCTTTGCAATAAATATTTTATTCTAGATTTTTTTTTACCTGTTTGCATGTAACATATATGTATAATCTTTGAGAAGCTATCAGTGTGGTATAGTGGGGGACCATCTGCTCATTTTCTAGCAAATACCTGCAAGTTAAGAATACAACATTTTAGTAAATATTTCTCAAACATGTCATTAGTAAACA